TTGTTTGGATTCTGACTCTGCATTAGACCGAACTACCACATTTTTTTTTTGCTTCTTCACATGATCAAATTCCGTCCAAGGAAAGTGAAGTTATTTGAGAGGAAATATTGTTTCTCATTTATTTCCATCATGAATGATGTGTATTTATACAACCTAAATGCTAATAAACCAAACAAATTCTAACAAAATCCTAACCAATTTATGGGGATGAGAAAATCTGTTTGTGACTCCCTCCGTAAACAAAATCTACAGCTAATAAAATAGAAAATATACAACCTGGAAAATACCCGGAAAGTACAACTTAATTTCTCCTTATTTCCTTATTTTCTATAGACAGTATAATAACCAATGGTGGATCTTTTTATCAATTAACGATCTACATAATCTACATTTGTGTCTGTTTCAAGAAATAATCTATTATTTCTTTTAAACATGATACATTTTCCTGATTTACCCTTAAAGTAATGGAGCATATGGTATGTGGCTTGCAGATGTCTTTTTTTAGACTTGTGAATGAACTGCCTTATTACGCTCACTGTACAGGTGATATCTGATTTGATATGCGTTAGGTATATTAGTTTTGAAGAAAATTGAGAGGAAAATATTTTGCTTCTCATTTTCTTGATGAATGATTCACACATATATATACAAATCTGCTGCTTCTAATAACCTAATAAATTCTGGAGAAATTCTAACAAAATTCTGGTTGAGGAGGAAATTTGTTGGTGACACCCTCTATTTACACAAAACGTACAACTCATAAACAAAAATAACAGCTGTAAATAAATGTATTTAATCCTAATTTATTTTTCTAATTATTTATTTTCTAATTATGTCATCAAAAGTTCTCTTGGGAAGATTTTTCATTAGAATATATGCGATCTGTTGATTCGTTGGAATGTGCATCAGAGTTATAGTTTCATCTTCCAATTTCTCTTTAATGAAATGACGATCGATCTCCACATGTTTGGTTCTATCATGATATACTGGATTTTTGGCCATACTGATTGTTGATTGGTTGTCGCACTATACTTTCATAAACATATTGTTGAGAACTTTTAATTCGTCAAGTATTGTCTTCAACCATACACCTTCACAAATACCATGAGCAAGCGCTCTAAATTCAGATTTTGCACTGCTGCAGGACACAACTGACTGTTTCTTGTTTCTCCAAGTAACCAAGTTACCCCAAATATAGGTACAATATCCTAATGTAGATCTCCTGTCATCTGTAGAACCTGCCCAATCCGCATCTGTGTAGATTTCAACACCTCTTCTGTCTATTTTCTGAAAGAATAAACCTTATCCTGAAGTTTTCTTGAGATACCTCAGAATCCGATACACAGCACTCATGTGATTTTCAGTTAGTTGATGCATGAACTGACTTACTCTACTTACTGCAAAACTGATGTCTGGTCTTGTGTGAGCCAAGTAAATAAGTTTCCCAACAAGTCTTTGGTATCTCCCTTTGTCAACCATTTTATTACTGATTCTGGATCCAAGTTTGATGACTAAATCCATCGGGGTGTCAGCAGGCTTGCTTCCTAGCATTCCAGTTTCTTTTAGGAGATACAGAATGTACTTTCGTTGAGAAACTAAAATTTCTTTTTTTGATCTAGCCACTTCCATACCGAGGAAGTACTTCAGTACCCCAAAATCTTTTATTTCAAATTTTTTGGCTAGGAATTCTTTAATTTTTTGAATCTCCTCAAAGTGATCTCCTATAAGAATGATATCATCAATAAATACAATCAAAATAGCTTATCTTTTTTTGGCTCTTCTACTCACGTCTACCGCTAGTTTGCAAGTTGGCATGTGTGATGTCGCTGCACCAACTTGAGGAGGGTATTGAGTAGGATATTTTATTACTTTATTATTTTATTATTTAATTAGTTGAGATGATGTAATTAGAATTTTATGAGAATAGTATCTCATATAATTAGAATTTTAATAAAATAAATTTTTTTTTATCAACAAATTATGAATTCTACAAGTACCCTAAGTGTAACAATCTAAAACGGAAGAAATAAAATTTATATTTTTTCTCCAAAATCAACACATTTAAACCATGAGAGACAGAAAACATATCTGAATGAGTCAAGAAATTTGTATCTTCAAGGCCATAGCCACAATCTTTGGTGAAGGTTTTAGGCTTCTCATGGAGTTCCAACATTTTTTCTTGGTGTGTGTATTTCTTGCAGAAAGTACACTAAAGTCTGTTTCTATTTTCTCACCAATTGTTTGGAATTTTTAGAGTTTGTCTTTGTTTCTCACAAATTGTTGGAATTTTATATAACTTGACTCATTCGCCCATGGTTTAGAGCCTTTAGTTGTCATTGTTCAACTTCTAACATAACAAATTTCTATGATTACCACCCTTCTACTGCTCGACAACTAAGAATAAAAAATTTA